TTTACTCAAAAATGGTGCATTGAAGGAAATCAATTCAAGGGAGATCATTTGTTTTGAATTGAATGGGGAATTTAAAAATAATTTTTATTTGACAAAAACCATTGGCGTACCATTTTTCTTAAAAAATATCGAAGTCAATACCCGTACGCACGCCACTGTTGAAGCTAAAAATTAGTTTTGCATTGAAAATAATGCAACTGATATTAAATTTCACTACGTACTAAATATCAGTGAAATCTCTGAAGCGGTTCTGAAAATATTAATTAATTTCCATTTTTTTCCTAACACTTCAACACCCAGAGTTTTTGTAAGGGAACATTTTTGGACCATAGTTTATAAAGCAAACTAGCATTAATTATTCATGTAGATTCACACCTTTAAATATTCGCATATCATTAAGGAACACCCTGTACAGTTGATGCTAGGAGACAAGTGTCATATTGAAATTGTCATCTTGTACAGGTGAAAAAGTGGGAATGTTAATGTGTCAGGAAAGTCGGTACTTCTCTGTCTCTCTCCGGAAGTAGTTTGAATTTCGAAGCTTTCTAAGCGGCATTTTGTTCGTTACCATTTAAGCGATTTCGTATCTCTTCCTGTTTCCGATATCTGAATGGTATAGAATAAATCTTGATTCCTGAAACCATACTCCTAATTATGTATTGCCTTTCTTATCGAATTATGTGGTCAATATTTGAACGAATATATGATACAAGTGCGTAATTACTATATTTGATAATCAAACTCCTAGAGTAAATTACAGTTAAAGGGCAATCTATTTTTAGAACATTTGTGATTATTGTTTAGCATAGTTACTTTACAACAATACATTGGTAAGTAGTTCATCAAAAAAAGTTAATAGAATTCTCACATGCTTCTTTATTACCTAGACAGTTGTGGGATAAGTTTGATTTAGTTAATTTTACTGCTTGTTTCTTTGAGTGTTCAGTCCTAATCTAAGGCTTGTCAACGTAGCAGCAACATTGAAAAAAGACAAATACATTTTTTTATGAATAATGAAAAGGGCCAACCGAAACTTTAACTCTAAGTCTTTGCTTCTTTAATTTTGAACCTAAAAGTTCTTATGAAGGCTTTTTATTCTCGCATTATAACTAATTTTATATTCTCATTTGGTGCCAGGAAGTTCTAATGAAAAAGCTCAGCACGCCCCCAAAATACAGTATATATTAAATTAATCAAGTTACTTCCAAATCCTTTTATTGCTGTGCGTGAGTATATCCAGTACGATTGGCTGTCTGGATATCCTCTCCAGAGAAAAAATGTACGTCGATGTATTGGTTTGTCATTTTGGTAGGCAATTTGCAAAAGTATGCTGTAAACCTACACAATTTCGGTGACAAACAGCGTAATATCAATATATAGGCTTGGCTCCTAATATGTGCGAAGGGACTCATGGAAAGACCGCATTGGCTCGACACCGATAGCGACACCTATGGAGGAATGGCCATAAGCTTAATAACCATGCTGCAAGTCAACTGAAACTTCCCAGCATGCTTTATTGGTTGTAGACTGCCTTAGAGTATATCACTGAGAAGATGTGGAAAGAAAATTGGTTGAAAAGCATCTGGATGACTGTGTGTGTGATATTTGCTGTGTATGCTGGTCATTAAGTATATCTTTGTACTAGCTGTACAGACGGGTTATTTGTTCTGTCCTTTCTGAAGAAAGTTATCTTGTAGAAAAACCTACATAATGTCACAAAAAACCTACATAACTTCCAAAAAACTACCTAATGTCGTTTTTCAAGATACGTAATCCCTTTCCGGGCTCTCATTCTAAATTCGTAGTAACGTACCATCACTTATCGTACTTTCTTCTATTTTGGTTCTTTACTAAGATCCAATACTACTATATTGTTATGCATAAGGATATGCAGCTAGCTCATGGCAAAAGTACACTTTCGTTTAACAAGCCACTTAAATATAACGAAGGTCGCGTTCGTTCGGCCATATTGACGACAAACAACTCCGACTTTAGGATAAGGTGATCGCTAAGACTATTTAAAATGCACTTGGACTAAATGATAATTCATCATTTAAATTTAAGACAATGCATGTGACATGACATGTCATGTAAGATTTTTCTTTTTTGGTACATTGATACCCATCCAAGCAAACGCAAAATATCATCAAATAGGGAAATTTTGACTGGAACTTTTTTGCGAAAATGTTTAAGACGGATTCTAGTCAAAAAGTAAATGGTATCTGTTGAGATGTTTCAATTTTCGAGTCCCCAGTATCCACATAACAACATCGCGTGATTCAAAGTCAGTTCTTTTATAATCACTTATTGGCTTGAACATTAGCACATAATAAACGTGGCCAATTGGAGAAAAGCCTTTTCATGTAATCTATTGTATATCCGACTAAAGAAGATCAGTGGAAAAGCAATTAATATAAGCATTACAATAACACTATGAACATTCCTTATGTCTTTGACGTTGGTTTGCACATTAAAAAATCACTAAGCATATTCTCAGCTCATTATTGCGTTTAGATAGTGGGGTAATTTAACATATATGTTTACAGGGCGTTAAGTTTAGTTCTAATGCTGTCGTAGTTTTCATTTACTTTCCGCAGGCAAGCAGCGCTACAAATGAAACCCAGTGTTCAAATGCACCAAGCTGGAGTACAGTTACTGAAGCGCGGTGAGAAATGAGAACATCAACACTTAAGAATGCGGTCCAATCGAATATATTTTCTTAAAACCCTTTTTTGTTTCATTATTAAAAGCTTAAGTATCCATCCAAAGTGAATGCTCTCCATTGTACAACAATTAATGATAAATAAAAAAAAAATCGGAAAAAATATATATTTTCAGGTTACATTAATATTCTGAATTCAAATTTTTATAGTCAACGCCAAACAAAGTGGCGTGCACGTCATCACGACAAAAATTCCCCGACCTAATGCCTAGGTTTCTATCACAAACAATTGCTCTATTGCAGTTTCATATTAATGTGATATATAAATTGTAAAATGGTCATTACTCTCTTATTATGGTTAATAGTCATATAAACATTGTTATTAAAATATCACATAAGTTGCTTTCTGATAAATTTAGACGCATTGTGCGAAATAAAATGTTTTGCAAACGCTCCAATCACTTATCGACATGTAAACGCACTAAACCGATTTCGCAGCGTTGACACATTGTCACCTTGAAACTTATTTAAACTGGGAACTGACATTTGTATTAATTTTGACACTGAATCAATTTGTGGCATTTCAAATCTTTATAAATCCTTTGGCCCCGCATACTGTAAATCAACAACTGTTTGTTTCAAAACAAAATTATTCATTTTACGAGTAGATAAAGGTAATTTTGGTATATAAAGATGCCCAAACAGTTAAATAGTCGGTGTAAGGAACTCGTGGCCTCGTTAATGCACTACTTTGAGCAAGAAAGGGACAACAACGGGCCTTTGTTGCCTTTAAATGCTGTTCAAGAGGTAGGTTACTAATAATTATATGTAATGTATATTAATAATAGTGAAATTTTATTTCATTTTTTGTAGCGTGTTGCTACTGCTTTAAAAATTAGTTTAAGGACAGTTAGTCGTATTTCCGAGGGTGTGAAAAGTGATGCAAATTTAGAATCGCCCAAGAAAAAGCGGAGTTATATTAAACGTGTAACCAACACAGCGACATTGGATACAAGTGCCATTCGAGAAGTGATCTATAATATGTATCACCAAAGTAAGATCTTATTATAATAACTTATCAGAAATTTGCATTAATTTGTTAACTAAATTATAATGTCATATTACACATGGTTTCAGAAGAACAAGTTACGATACAAACTTTATGGTCTCGATTAAGAGATAGAGCATTGTTTGATGGTAGTGCCACGTCTCTAAGGCGGTTGCTTAGAGATCTTGGATTTAAGTGGCTTAAGGACAATCCGCGACGAGGGCTCATGGAACTACCAAGTATAGCTTTGAAAAGGGTGGAATTTCTAAGGCAATACAATCAAGCCAAGGTTGAGGCCTTATACCAGTTTGTCTTCCTCGATGAAACTTGGATATTTCAAAATGGGACCATAGGTCGCTCTTGGCAAAATGGAAACCAAAAAAGCGTGAAAGCTATTAAAACAGATGGTAAAAGGTATGTACTTTTACACAATTTGCACTATAAAATTTAAAACTAATATATTTTAGATACATTATATTACATGCTGGAAATGAAAATGGGTTTATTGAGGGTAGTGAAGCGATATTTTCTTCGAAAACAAAATTGAGCGATTACCATGGAGAGATGAACCAGGACAATTTTTTGAAATGGTTTCAACATCAGTTATTAGAAAAATTGGAGAGTCCATCTATGATTATACTGGATAACGCCCCTTATCACAGCATGATATTGAACAAAGTGCCCAACAATGCATGGACAAAAAAAAATATCCAAGACTGGTTGACAAATCAAAACATACCATTTTTAAACACAATGTTTAAAACAGAGCTATTGAGTATTGTTGCTCGGTACATAATGCTTCTTAATTATATATATTTTGGTCGGCAGTTTATATTTCTTTTGTTTATTCCTATTCTTAAAATAACTGCTTTTTTAGAAACAAACCACCTAAAATATACGTGATTGATGAATTGGCGGAACAACATGGGCACAAAGTTCTTCGTCTGCCTCCTTACCATTGTATATTTAACCCTATTGAGTTAATTTGGGGCATAGCAAAAGGTTACTATAACAGACATATTGGTAGAGATGGTAACAGTGAAAAAGACTGTTTGGATATGTGGAACGAGGCTCTACAAATGGTTACCCCAGACATGTGGAAAAATAGTGTTCGACATACTGAGCAAGAAATTTTTAAATGGTATGAAAGAGAACGAATTTTTGATCGACCAGACATCGAACCTTTAATAATCAACTTTGAGAGTGATGAAGATTCAGATTCAGACAGCGCTGAAGAAAGAAACTCCGACTAACTTTATTGTACAGAAAAAGCTTACACCAGTAGCTTACCTAATTTTAGAATGCATTTTTCTGTATGAATTCTGTAAAATAAATACCATGCATAAAATTTGGAGGACCCCATTTGGATTTTTATTCAGTACCTTTAAGCTATCAATTAAATATTGTAGTTTCATAGTGTCATCTGATCAATAATTGTCATACTTAATGATTATGCAAGTACAGATCTATAATTTTATTATACTATTATTTTTGTTCTCATTTGAGGTTAATATTGCTTATAAACCTAGATATGTAAATAATAAATTTTATTATTTTACAAAAAGTTTGGCAACAATGTAAATTTTTCAACACACCCACCTTGATGACGTGCACGCCACCTTGTTTGGAGTTGACTATACTTATAGTATTGACAGCTTAGCCAATACATACAAAAATTTTACTACTACTGTAAAAATGTTATAATTCGTTGGCCTGCATTTGTCATTTTTCACGCTAATTTGACATATCTCAAAACTTAAGACAGGATAATATACACGAAATACGCTCAGAATTTTGCGTATAAGCGAATAAAATATACAGGGTGTTCTGTTCAAAATAAGCAAACTGGTATCTACTTCCGGTACACCCGAGGTGTCACCAGTTTGAGAGTTTTTAAACCGAATTACTCCCATCAGATATGCTATATATACTCAAATTTCCATTTTGCCTTATGTCAACTTTTCGCTGCAGTTCTTCGTGAGATAATAATAATTGTATCTTTGGATTAAGCTTCTTACGCTTTAATATGATTTTTCCAAGTCCTTTTTTGTCAGAATGACACCGAGATGCCTAGTGGAACTTTCCCATGGTACACGAACTCAGTATAGAATCAATGATCCAGTAGGGTAACCGTGAATGTTGATGTTAACTGACTGAATAGTGGCCATGCACTCAGTTGACAGTTACTTTCGTATTAATGTTATTCACTCATATTTGTTTCGTATTAAGTTTTGAGTCTAGTTTAAGTATTTGTTGTGGGCATGTTGTGGGTGTTAAATATTTCAATATTATATTATTAGATATTCAAGCGGTAGAGAGGCAAGATTCAGTAGCAGAGTATAATTTGCTGATTTAACCTCCTCCGACCCAGGAGTATCGCATGCGATACACTATCAACACATGCTTAGAATTTATTTCCCGCTTGTTTTGCTCAGTGGGCGACAGCGGGCATTTGTTTGCATGTTGATGTGGTTGTGTGAAACACGTGGGGATGGCTTTTAACGAAAATAGACGTAAGTACAAATAATTTCTAAATGTATTTGGTTTTAAATAGTTGTTATAATGTTCAATAATATAAGTGGGTTATTTGATTGCGGTGAATTTTCTCGCTAAGGGTACCGACTAGACGAAATAGAAGAAGTATCGCTGGTGATACTTTGGGTCTCTAACAATACAATTAAAATAAACAAGAAAAACAAAGATTTAATCAATTTACAGAAATTGTGTTGTTTCAAGCCCTTTGACTGACAAAGAGCTCCAGGAATTGGCTGATGGGATAGATCTAAATAACTCTGATATAGATGATGAACTTCTTAGTGAAGAGGATCTTGATGGTGATAACCTTGAAGAGGATCTTGATGGTAATAACCTTGAAGAGGATTTGTTGACCGAGCAAAATTTTGAAGACCAAGACAATCCAGAGCCCGATGACGGTTTCGGTTGTGAATATGACCTGTCCCTAGCGCGTTTAATTCCATCACATTACCAAAAGTGGGTATGCAATAAAGTCTTTGTTCCGCCGAACCTCCTGGATTCTGTAAATTACAGCGACCAAGTTAAAACACCTTCTGAATATTTTCAAAAATATATTAGTGATGACTTCTTTGAAAGTGTTTCTTAACTTACAAATATGAGAGAAGTAAGCAATACGGAAGATTAGAAAATTATTTGGTTGTACCATGCTAATAGGAATTTATTCACTACCGTGTTTGCGAATGTTTTGGGCTAACAGCACTAGGGTACCCATAGTATCCGATAACAGCACAAGAAATCGTTTTTTTAAGATACGCTCTCGTTTAAAAGTTGTAGATGACACCAGGGTGTCCGCAGAGGCAAAATCGCTTGATAGATTCTGGAAGGTAAGACCCCTCCTTGAGAAAGAACCAGCAAGGTGTCCATCGACGAACAGACGATACCCTTTGCTGGCCAAGTCACCATGAGACTCGTGGTGAGTCTAACCCAGTAGGCCTCAAAAACTTCGTAATGGCTACTCCGACTGGAATCCCGCTTGATTTTTACATCTGTCAAGATAAGGGCTCATCGGTGGAATCGGCGTTATTAGCAGCCCTAGAAAAATTGTACGTTGGAGGGAGAATGGTCCTTAAATTGGCAGATACTCTTCCTGTAGGAGTTTCTGTATTTACGGACAGATATTTCACTTCGATCCCCCTAATAGATTTTCTTTCATCACTTAACATTACATTAGCCGGAACGATAATGTCTAACAGAATTCCTAAAAGTGCTAGTCTTCTACCTGATAATGAACTGAAAAAGAAAGAGAGAGGAAGCTATGATCACCTTGTGCGGGATGACGGAAAAATAATACTTGTGAGGTGGTTCGATAACAAACCTGTAAACTTTGCTTCATCCTGCATTGGCGTGGACCCAAAAGGAACTTGTAGTATGTGGTCTAAGGTTGAGAAAAAGCGTGTTGATGTCAAACAGCCAGCAGTTGTTAAAACTACAATGCATACATGGGTGGAGTAGACCTTCTAGATCGCGTAATTGGAAAATATGCAATGAGAAATCGGACAAACAAATGGACTGTGCGAACTATTTTTCATTTTATCGATTTCTCAGTAGCAGCAAGCTGGCTTGAATACCGTGAAAATGCTAAAGGTGCCGGCTTACGTAGAAAGTATATTATGGATTATTTTGTTTTCAAACTATCTGTTGCCAAAGCACTGGTATTAGAAAATCAAGATCAGGAAGATATAGAATCTGAAGAAGTTCAACCAGGTAAGAAACGACGAAGCGTGTAACCCATTCCCGATAAGAGATACAGGCTTCAGGGAAATACACATTTGGTTGAATTTATGAAAGGCAAACAAAAATCTCGATCTAAGTACCGTTTACCTATGTGCAATAATCTAAGTTTTGCGAAATGTAAATCTAGTGGAGTGTATTTATGTTGTAGCGTAGAAAGAAATTGCTTTTTAACATTTCACAAATAGTTAGCATTTTTTTCACTTGCTTACTTAATTTTTTTTGTATGCCTAGAGACCCAAAGTATCCTTTGTGATACTTAATTTTTTTCAAAATGGGAATAAAATTTTTGAAAATACAGTAATTTTTGGCTTTTGTATGTCCAAACAACCACCTGACTAAAAAATCAACAATCGTTTAGAAGTAGAGTTACTCTGGGTCTGAAGAGGATAGGTCACTGAGTAATAATGACACCAATCATGTTTGTGTGGGAGGTCATATTTTAAATTAGTCCTCCTCCTGGTGGCGCATATTGGCCTCGCTTAGTTCATTGTAAAGAGGTTACTTGACTTTGCGTAGTACAATGGGTATTACGATATTTTTCATTTATTGACTTCGTTCAAAGTAATTCCCACCACATTCAATACACAACCGCCAAAACCAGTCCTTAACCCAGCTCTGCCAAGTTTCACCCGGGAATGCTGCGCACTCGTTGTCCCAAGCCTTCACAAGGTCCTCATCGCTAGAAAACCGTTTTCCTTTTAGCTTCATTTTCACATGCGGAAACAGTGCAAAGTCGCAGGGAGCAAAATCTGTACTTAAGAAGGGTGCTCAATAAGTTTCAGTCCGGAAGTGGTCAAATACTCGGTGCAGGCTTTGGCGTGGGGAGCTGGAGCGTTGTCATGGTGGAGGTACCAAGTGTCCATTCTCGACTTTGGCCGCAGGTTTATCATAGATACTATGACTTTACGCAGGCACTGTTCCGTGTACCACTCAGATGTGACTGTCTTCTGTGTGTCCAAAACGATACGTACCATAATGCCGTTTGATTTAAAATATACAGTTGTCTTTTTTTTATTAAGAGATCGGGATTTTCTGAAAGCTATAGGTGTCCTCATCATCAAAGACCCAAACTTTGTTTTGTGCCTTGATTGGCACATCGTAATAATATATCCAAGTCTCGTCACCTGGCACGTGTTTACATACCGAGATTGTCCCATATCAAACATTTTCAGCATATTTCGGCACCAAGTCGTACGACGAGTATTCTGCTCCTCCGTCAGACTATGCGGTACCCAGAGAGAACAAATGCTGGTGCATGAAGGTGTAAGGTCTCCTCTATCTGTTGGTACCTGACTCTCCGGTCTTCGTCAACTATTTTCCACTGTTACTGACATTCGCGGCTTTCCCACTCAGCGTCCGCCAGAGTGAAATTGTCCCTTTGAAATTCTCTGTTCCACCTGAATATTTTTCTATTACGATGAGGACAATCATTCTTTAACGCAAGAGTCATTTCTTCTAAGCACTGGTCTATGCTTAAACCACGCTTCAAGTTATACCATAAAACTTCCCTTATCTCACTACGTGATCACGATGCCATAGTCCGCACTTCACACTGTCAATATGAATGAACAACTAATCTAACAGACGTACTGCCGGCGGCTACTATGCACTCATGGACATATCTCAACATGCAGCCTCCCGAGTCCGTTTGTTAAGCCATATTGCACAACTTTTGTAGTACCCTTTGTATTTTCACCTGCGGTAGGGTATAATTTACGAATTGTATCAATGGCTACACTGTCATCTTTCCATCCTTTTCAGCAGGGGCGATTCAATCACTCCTAAGTACCGTTCTAATCTATGTAATGTACATTGTGACGGGAGTGGAGTTGCGTTCCAACGATGGTAAGGTTTCTGAGGAAAGTGGGCAATGCTCCGTACTGAATAGAACTAGGGTCTCCTGTTCTATCGGCGGATACACTACAACTTCGCATGTCCAAATTTATGTGACTATTCCTTGTTTATCTCATATGCTGGAGTGATATGGGCTTATAAAGAAGAATTACATCCTGCTCCGTCAGCCAGAGCGCAATCAGGGCTTTCAGCCTTAAGTTACAATGTAGGAAGCTTAGGCATCTGGTGTCATTACTGTGGGTACCGGGACTTGCGGGGGGTGGAAATGATATGCCGGGTGCACTCGCAAGAGTGGAATCAGAGGGCAGACTTTTTTGTCCTGAGCCAGCCCTAGGTGTGCCCGAGCTAAGAGGATAATGGTGGAGTGGATATTTATACAACACTCTCTTAAACAAAGAAGTATCTCTAAACATATCCGTCAGTCACCGGAGCCCATTTTAGGTCCTACTGCTAAGGTTGGACCTTTTTGTCTTATTCCTGGACAGAGACAACTTGACAATAACACGTTGAGGCGTCATGGCCTTGAGGATCCCATATGTGTGCGCTGTGGGGGTAGAGGAGGGGTCCTTGGCACACATTTTGTGCCGCTGCGAGGCTTTGGAATACTACAAGCAGAATACTGGGGCCAGTATTTTGACTCTCCTGAATGTCAAGGAGTTGAGCTCAACCTCGTCAGAAAAGCGAGGCTTCAGACATAGAGGAGATAGATGTGCAAAAGGGCACTTCATATGGTCAATGTATTAGCTTCTTTCGATTGCCGGAACACCTCAAAGCCAATAATCGTGGTACTGTATTATAGAGAGCAAATTGTAGTCTGATGTGTCGGCCCCGTAATTTTAATAGTGTGAGGAATAAAAACGCGTTACTAAACTTCATTGACCACCATACGCGAATAAAACATGACCGGAACTTACTTCCATATTTTTCTTACCTCTCAACTGTCAACGATCTAACGTCAGGGACCATGTCATCCGGCAAATATAAGCGCCCGAATTTCAAATTTGAAGTTTTATTACTACAAAATATTATGCCATTACTGGTTTTGAGAATATGGTCGTCTCATATAAACAGCATCTGGCCACCTTCTGGTACGTTCTGGGCGTAATTTTGTGTAACGCGGCGTATGTTGAATTTTGAAGATTACACCGTGTATGGTTTATTAGCATAGACTTATTTTTCGAAATATCCACTGAAAGTAATCTAAAGATGTCATATGATATGATTTTGAGGGTCAATACTTTCGGGTACATTATACAAGAAATTATGAGACCAAGGCAGATGATACCATTTTATTGTCCGTTCGCATTAATTCCGTTTAATTGAGAACGAAAATGTGTTCCCACTTATGTAGTTATTGTGTGTGTGGGAATATGTCAAATAGAATGTCCATGCAAGACAGCTGCTCTGACAGATTGCTGTTTCTTTGAGCCTGTATGCCCAAAATCAGTAATGGCATAGTTTTAGTTCTGTAGTACTGTGCTCGTATGATTATTACGGACTACAACGATTCCTTGGTTTTGATTTCATTTGCAGTATCCATGTTTTCAATATGCATTTCCTTTGTCATTGTTATCATATATTACTCTGTCTCTACTGTTTACTGCAATTTCATGAAATATGTTATTGTGAACGTGATATTATGATTTGCTCTACACTAACTGTATCAAGATATAACGTTTATTATATAAAATGTTCACTTCCGTTTTGTACAAAACAAACATATTAAGTAATGATTATATAGTTCTGTGCTCTCATTAAATTTGATTAAAGCGGAATGGTTGCATAATTGATTTGATTAACCGCCAGCTTCTTTTTATAGAAATAGGAAGAAACTTTGATGGTTCACTGGGTTTCTAGCTTAATAGCCACCGATCACCTTATTGATGTCAGTCATCGACATCAGTTTACTGTTTTGATATTCGACGTACAACTGTCATAAGTAAAAAACCCAAAGCTGAATCATTACTTATTTTCAATTAAATACCTACATATGTGTATCTTCTTTGGATCTCGGTTTCGATGTAATTAGTACGATTAGTTTGGTCAGATACTTTTTGTTTACATTCTTTAATCTACTTCCTCATGTGTATGACCGAGTTTCGAAATTTCTTTATTTATACGCATCCATGTGGTGACCGAGTATTACTGATAAACAAAGATATCTTGGAAAAAATATTTGTAATGCATAAAATTTGTGGGTACTATTGTAAAATATTCAGAATTAAACATTGGTATAACACACCATGGGGTGTTGGTGTTTTATCTAGAAAAACTCTCAACTTCGGCAACTTTTCAGTCTGCCACTTTGAAAGACTTTCATTAAAAATTCACCGCACGATTACAATGTCAGGGTACAGTTGCTACCAAACATGTTCATTGAAACACATCAGAGAGGCGAAGTTTATCCGCAGGGCTACTCGTGCGCTTGCACTATGAGCATAAAGTAATAAGTCAAGTTATATATACACAAGAAAAGATACCAGAAAAAAATAACAATAATGCCGTACAACACTGTAAGCAATCAACAGCAGTATATCTAGAAGATAGCCAAAAGAAAAACACCAAACATTGAGTACTCACCATCCAAATACACTAATAGTAAATAAATTTAACAGGAAAAGATGCAAATTCGAACAACATCAGCTCCCTTTTAACCGGCTTATTGAAAGGTACTAGTATATTTTTATTTAGTCAATTTCGCTGGAGTTTTATAATCTAACAGCGTTGAAGGTAAAATGCTTTATTAACATCACATCTTGTTACAAGCTCCTCTCAAAGACATGTTGGTTTTTGCATCCGTACTACTTTAAGGATTGATACGTTCAAAGCATAGCCAAACTCTGACTCTATTCTCAACCAGTGTAATTCTTTACTCTTAGAGGAGACATGACTATATTTACGAAGAAACACAATCTTCAGTAGACAGTAGCCGATTTGAATTTTCTCGATTCAACCAATCTAAGTGAGTATAGGACAAAATCAACGAAGGTGTGTATAACGAAATAACCTCGGCATGATTCAAGACCTTTACGGCTGTTGTCGATACACACAGTAGCAAGAAAAAACAAATAATGAACTATCACATGGAAGACAGATAAATATGAAACATACTGTTATTGCCAATATCTGTCACCGTGGTGGCCGAAACGACAGTAAAAAGTAATATTATACATATGTGGTTTGATTTGCCCAAAAAATCATGGAGATCGGAAAAACGGAGCGTTGAACTATTTTCTACTCTTAAAAATTAAGCTGGATTTATTACAAATCAATTTGACACACGTTTTTTGAAACAGGTGACTGGTGTGTTAATCAAAATTTAGATTAAAATCTAAAAGTGCTTTGAGTGCTTCACTAAAGGAGTGCGATTAGTATTGTTTATTATTAAGACAACGGTGTCCCTAATGCTATTATACAGGGTGTCTCACGGCAGAGGTAGGATTTTGAAATTGAATAACAATACAACGTTACATTTTACCAAAACTATTTTTACTTCATTTGAAGATCATAAATATATGCGGATATATTTTTTTTTTCAAATTACGTCGTCGAGATGACCTCCATCACAACGGACGCACTCGTGGAATCTCGTCATTGCATTTTGCGTTACACGCCGGAGCAAGACAGGTTCGGTGTTCTTAATTTCCTGGCGGATATTTTCTTTGAGCTCAGCGATAGTCGTTGGATTACCTGCATATACTGTAACGCTTCCTTTCCGCAAAAAGTCCAGAAAAGATGGAATGCAATGAAGATTCCAACTTTTCTGCACAATCACAGAAAGGGGGTTACCATTAGCTTCCGGTAGCTCAGTCGGTGGCATGAAGACATCTACAGGCGTGTAGCTGTGTGTCGACCATGGCATGGCTAGAGGATAGAAGAACAAACAGAACACAAAAATTTAACAGATTTTATTTAACAAAAAAAAGGCACTTTCATTACATTATAATTTTACAAAAATAACAAAATAAGTTTTTAACGCTATCGACTTATCTTTTGCTGGTCCATTTTGACTCGACTGAAGCCAGGATGGCCAGGGGTTTGAAGGAGAGGTCCCAGTTATGAGGGGTGACCTCCATATAGTGGCTTCACAACCAGTTGTAGACGAAGTTAAAGGCGATGGCGCTGCCAAGGTACATGCATGGGTGAAAATATTGGCCAAGGCTAGGCAAAGTGAAAGGGAAAGAGAAAGGGGGTGGCCCCAATCTGAAAAAGAACCGTGTGCATTAGCAACGTGCCCTAATGGCCAAGGCATTTCCAATCTCAGTCTGCCTCAAAAGAGAACCAACGATTTTCTAGATTAGAATTACATTATATAGTTTGATAAAATCAAACCGAAAATTGGAAATGCCTTTCATAAAATAAAATCATGAAATAGCAAAAAAAAAAGCGTAAAACAAGATGGCGGTCATCAAAAATTTCTCCACATGCTTCTGATATAAAAACATAATCATCGAATATTCATAATCAACGTACTTATAATTTCACTGAACTATGAATATATATACGCGCACAGAGGTAAAATCGATGTGGATCGATTTCCACCTCGATTTGATTAAAGTTATGGCGAATGATCGAAGTAGTCGAAAATGACGTTCGATGGATATTTTAAAATCGTACAAGAAATAAATCACTTACATATCGATTATCTATAAACTACAGGCAGATCCAGCAATAAAACTGTATAGTATTATAAAACTCACCATTTTTGTCCTATACGGACACACATTGTAGAAAATTCTAGCACATGGTGCTATATAACCTTGTGCTACTGAGAAGAAATTTCTAGCCGTTGTTCGATCGGCGGCTCAAGTGAAAAGGAAGCGCGAGGAAGATCGCAGATCAGGAACTCCGCATCAAGCGCTCCAAGCGGAAAATTTTCCAAGCAAAAAAGCTAGAGATGGGATTAATGAAATGATAATCGAGAAGTGATTTAATAAATACGATCGGACGGTGAAACCGTTACACTCGCCCCAACTTAACCAAAAAAAAAAAAAAATCGAAGAAGCATTTAAGAATTTTTTTTTTTTTACTAGGAAATTGAAAGTTATCACGGAAGGACAAATGTACAACCATTCGACCAGATAACAAGTAGCAAAAGTAAGGTAGAAACAAAAATGTTAGAAGAGAATTGGAAGAAAAAGGGATAGCCTCAAGTCTACCAAACAAGAGGGATGGTTATAGCACCAACTCGCTGAAAAGTACAGTCAAGTTGCACTTAAAAAAAAACTATCATCATATGATGAAAAACCCAAAACATAAAACATCGTCATACCTAAGACGAGAAAAATAATAAACCAAAAGCTTCAGAAGTAGTCCAAGCACGAATCACAATGGCATCCAAAATGCACGACTGACTACTATAAACTTCAAAACTAAGTAAGTACCTAAACCATAAGAGGTACTAAAAAAATAATAATAATCTTTCTCAAAACAATTGCCAGATTATCTCGCAATACTCCAAACCCAAAAAGAATATCATCTACAGTGATATGTTAAACCAATATCCAATATAGAAAAAAAAAACAGTGCATTATTATTTTCAAAATATGAAAATAATAATAATAATAATAATGAATTAACAAATTCCATTAGGAATTCAAGTCATATAACAAAACAATTTACAAGTACTAAACCAATGAAAACTTGATCACGAAGGTATTTTAATCAAAAATGATGTTAACTAAGTGCAGTTCTGATTCCACAAAAAAAAAATTGTTGGGCGCCAGCAGTCTGTAAGACTACAAAATAATTCAAAATATTTTCAGAGAATTAAAGTATATAAGGGACATTCATGAAATATTGAAGTAAGATTTTCAAAGTCAAAATATAGCTTAAGTTCAATCAATGAACTAAAATTCAAGAGTAAGTTCAATCAAAATTTTCGGGTCATGTGACAACACAAGAACCAGACCAAAAAAAAAAATTTGAAGTACAATATAGAAAAGAGCAAATAAATTTCCAAAAAAAACTAAGTGCAACACAAGTGCAACTGTAAATCTAATAGTATTAAAATCATAAAGCGAAAGGGAATATCAAAGCTATATGAGCATGATTTTATAAAGAATTCTCAAAAAAAAATACAAAATTAAGCAAAATATCAAAAGTTTCATGAGTAATAATTGAGAAACGAAGTGAGCATATGTAAAATGCAAAATAGCGAAACGAAAATCACAAGTTATTTTAATAAATCATGATACATGAGAGTAATGCCGCAAGCAAAAATTGTATGCAAAAGTCTACGATATATGTAGGTGCAAAATTGGAGTTATAAAAAAATCTAGTGAACAAGAAATAGAAATAAATATGATAGGTAAGGATTCGAATTTTGATTTAAAGCAAAAATATGAGAGAAAGACAACTTTCTAGGGTCACCGTAGGTGCATTCCAAAGCCCTAGACAAGAATGTCTATAGTCTATGGAATATTCTCATGTAGATCACTGATATCATCAGCGCACTTCAAAGTCTACACTGAGAATAACCATATCATTGTAGAATGAAAGTTAAGTTCAAATATGAAATATGACAAGATTAGAAAAACTATAATAATTTACCAGTGTAAAGTATGAAAAGAGAATTACTATACTGAATCTATAAGAATTGGCGATTACTTCAAGTCAAGACAGAAATTGAAAGAAATAAGAAGCCGGAAAAAAGATTATGAGAGCAGACTATCAAAACAAATGCAATAATGCAAAAGCAAAATCACCAGATATTTCAAAATCTATAGCGAAACATGAAAGCAATGTCGCAACCAAGCTCAAGACTTAGCAATACGCACAAATGTGCACAAAGGCTGAAAGCATATATGAAAAATCTCAAGAAGGAATTGACAATTACTTCAAATCAAATTGAACTGATTGAATTGAACTGAGACATAAATAACTATATCAAAAGTGAGTTTTACTTATACGCCAGAGGTTTCAAGAGTTTATCAATACGCACAGATTTGCAACTAGGCGGAAAGCATATATGACAAGTCTCAAGAAGAAAATAAAATGCATATGAAGAAAACACTTTCAATTAAAGAAACTGTGGATAGTGCAAGACCCTCAAAGGCATACATCGCAACGAATCTATGTAACTATCCAGACTACAAAGTACTGTCAAAGTTCAAAACCACTCAAAAATATGTGGACAAACATCAAAAGTTTGAATCAAAAATCAATGTAAGTCTGTGCTCTCGAAGAAAGTTATAATGAATTCAAAAAGAGGATATTATCAAAAACTTCAAAAGTAATAGACTTCAAAAATAGAAGTACGTAAGTATGTAAAGGAAATTCAGAAAATATACGCATAAAAACATTATAAAATATTATACACAGTATTTGTCACATGATTTAGATCGGGAATGCAATTTAAATTTTGAGTACACTCAGAAAAATGAAATATTCAAAAGATGAAGTATACACATTAAATTGGAATCAGAAAAATAATGATTACTTGTAAATTTTGTACATGGTGGACTGACGTAATGGTTCAAAAGGTTGAAAGAACAACGATGACTAATGTCCAAAGTAAACATTCACCTGCCTTTTACAGGAAATTAGCTTAACAATCATCAAAGGAAATTCTTATCCGTTCGCATCTGTACTAGGAAATAAATATAGAAAAACCTACTCGCTCCAATGTACAGATCGAAAAACTCGCCCCCTTCGATTGAGCGGAAATATGTATTGGACTGATTGTAATATTTCAGAAGGTTGAAAGAACAACGATGTTAAATGTCCAAAGTAAACATTCAGCTGCCTCTTACAGCAAATAAGTTTATTCATTATCAAAGGAAATTCTTCTCCGTTCGCATCTGTACTAGGAAATAAACATAGGAAAACCTACTCGCTCCAATGTACAGATCGAAAAACTCGCCCCCTTCGATTGAGCGGAAATATTTTTGTAATTATTATATTTAAAAAAAATTAAAGTTGAAAACGTGAATACATCAATAATTGACAAGGATCCAAAACACTATAAAAAACTAACAATACAAACAAAAAATTTCAATACAAAAACAGGAGCAGCCAAATCTTAAAAAAATTATTTTATATCTGACATACATTAAAAAAGTACAGAGACGTTCAAGTCCTGTTAATCCAATGGAAAATCAGACACTAATGTTCTAATTTCCCCCAAAGAATATGCCAGATAAAACTATAAAACATTAAAATTATGAAAACTTATGCTCCAAACAAGAGACAAAATTACTACAATAGTTACTGAGGAACGTATACTATATATTTAAACAACAAGTTGACATTTAATTACCATAAATGAGTATGTGTGTCTTTGTATAGGTAAAAATGATTTAGGAGTCACCCCCTCATTGAAAAGTAGCAAAAATATAGTCAAGAAAAACATCATTTGTTTCTTGAAAAAAAAGAAAGGTAAGTATCAAAGTACTATGTCCATGTGTCAATACTTGAAAAAAAGTAAACCGCCCAAAATATACGAAAAATTATGAATATCAATTTCATATAATTCAGAAAAATGGATAAATCGCAAAATGATTTACTCCAAATAACTCTAGTCAGTAGATTATTGCCATCAGAATGAAAACAAATGATCAAAAGTTCAAGTACAGTCAAAAATTCAAAAAGTAAATACATTTGGGGAAGGCAAAAATAATTTTGAAAGTAAATTTCCTACGTACCAAACATCATGAGAGCTATATCAGTACACCAGAGATCCAACAATTAGGCTATATATGCATACATGAAAAGTCTCAAGAAATCAAAAAAACTGCACATGAAGAAATACTTTCAAAAACTAAGAGGTTAGTGATCAAAAATGAAAAGCATATAAGAATATGTAAACTATCAACAACAATAGTCACAACCTCAATCAAAAGTTTGATGATATTCGACAAACATGCTGGGAAACCTAAAGTCCCCAGACTATCAATATTCAACAACAAAAAAAATATCAAAATATCATCAATCTCAAAAGTACAATGAGAAAAAAGTTATAACTGTCCCCAGCAGTAAATAAAAACTATAGTAGTATGTGAGAAAAAAAATTCTGGCAATGATCTCGCTGACTACTAAACAAGACAATTTAAAAGTTAATAGTATGCCTATGAAATAAACAGGTGGAAAAATTTTAATCTTTTGATAAAAATTTTAAACATTAAGCAAAAAGTAAGGATGATTAAGGAATTAGAAATTTGAGTACCAAAAGCAATTAAAAATAGAAATGCTGCCAAAGATTGTAAAGAATTTTGAAAACTATGTTCTGTTTGCCAATCTTCCACTAGCAAACCACTTGTCGACAAAGCCAAACACCTATCGAAGCCCCACGTTGCGGGTGCCAATTTATGTAACGCTTCCTTTCCGCAAAAAGTCCAGAAAAGATGGAATGCAATGAAGATTCCAACTTTTCTGCACAATCACAGAAAGGGGGTTACCATTAGCTTCCGGTAGCTCAGTCGGTGGCATGAAGACATCTACAGGCGTGTAGCTGTGTGTCGACCATGGCATGGCTAGAGGATAGAAGAACAAACAGAACACAAAATTTAACAGATTTTATTTAACAAAAAAAAGGCACTTTCATTACATTATAATTTTACAAAAATAACAAAATAAGTTTTTAACGCTATCGACTTATCTTTTGCTGGTCCATTTTGACTCGACTGAAGCCAGGATGGCCAGGGGTTTGAAGGAGAGGTCCCAGTTATGAGGGGTGACCTCCATATAGTGGCTTCACAACCAGTTGTAGACGAAGTTAAAGGCGATGGCGCTGCCAAGGTACATGCATGGGTGAAAATATTGGCCAAGGCTAGGCAAAGTGAAAGGGAAAGAGAAAGGGGGTGGCCCCAATCTGAAAAAGAACCGTGTGCATTAGCAACGTGCCCTAATGGCCAAGGCATTTCCAATCTCAGTCTGCCTCAAAAGAGAACCAACGATTTTCTAGATTAGAATTACATTATATAGTTTGATAAAATCAAACCGAAAATTGGAAATGCCTTTCATAAAATAAAATCATGAAATAGCAAAAAAAAAGCGTAAAACAAGATGGTGGTCATCAAAAATTTCTCCACATGCTTCTGATATAAAAACATAATCATCGAATATTCATAATCAACGTACTTATAATTTCACTGAACTATGAATATATACGCGCACAGAGGTAAAATCGATGTGGATCGATTTCCACCTCGATTTGATTAAAGTTATGGCGAATGATCGAAGTAGTCGAAAATGACGTTCGATGGATATTTTAAAATCGTACAAGAAATAAATCACTTACATATCGATTATCTATAAACTACAGGCAGATCCAGCAATAAAACTGTATAGTATTATAAAACTCACCATTTTTGTCCTATACGGACACACATTGTAGAAAATTCTAGCACATGGTGCTATATAACCTTGTGCTACTGAGAAGAAATTTCTAGCCGTTGTTCGATCGGCGGCTCAAGTGAAAAGGAAGCGCGAGGAAGATCGCAGATCAGGAACTCCGCATCAAGCGCTCCAAGCGGAAAATTTTCCAAGCAAAAAAGCTAGAGATGGGATTAATGAAATGATAATCGAGAAGTGATTTAATAAATACGATCGGACGGTGAAACCGTTACAATACTTTGCTCTTAAGATACCCCCACATAAAAAAATCCTTCGGGGACCAATCTGGTGATCGCGGAGGTCATACGATATCACCAAAACGGAATATTAATTTTCGAGGGAACAACTCTCGAAGCTGGTCCATCGTTTCTCTTGCAGTGCGAGCAGTGGCTCCATCTTGCTGAAACCTCGTGTGTGAACTGGGGTATAAAATAGCTTGTTATCATTTGTCATCATACCTCTCCCATCTTCAAAAAAATAAGATCCGATGATTCCGTTCGCTGAGATGGCACACCATACCGTTACTTTTGGGTCTCTGATGTTTTTCTTTGGGATTGTGAGGTGCCCAAAAGCGACAATTCTGGTTGTTTACATAACCATTTGGATGGAAATGTGCAAAAGTTTTTTTTCGTAAATGTGGTCATTTTCCGTTATCACTTGCACAATTTGAATTTTGTAGAGATGGAATTTATGGAGTTTCAAATCCTTCTTCAAAATTCGCTCTAGTGTTGATTTAGTATGATTTAAGACTGCTGCTCTTTTGCGAATCGATAAACGAGGATTGCGACGAACTTTTGCATCAACTTCGTTTATTGCGTCTTAAGTTCTTCTGCCGATTTGTGGCTGATCATGTAGTTCGAAACTTTTGCACCCATTTACAAATCAAGTTTTCGCTTCATCCTGTAAACATCTTATGTTGTAATGTAAACATTGCCGACGAGCCGTAACATATGATTATTCGCCGTTGAAATACATGGCAACTGACAAATCCGCACGAACGGTGGAAGCCTACGCGGAGAAAAAAATTATACTCGAACTTTGATTTAGATTGATCCAGAAACAGCGCCTGTTACAATAATCTACTATATTATTTAGATCACTTTAAATGACACCTCATCTAACAGAGACAAATTAAAGTGATATGTCACTTGCGTGTCATCAGCCTAAGTTTGTATCGAGCAGAATTCAACCCATGAGTGACGATAAATTATGTATATTAAATACAGCAGAGGCCCCAGAGCGGGCTCCTGAAGAACGCCAGATGAAACTACCGTATATGCTAACACCGTGATGAACTCTGTGAAATGCTAACCCGCACAAACCCAGAAACAAAAGGTCACAAAAATTGAATACATAGATTTTTTATCCTATCCTACTTCTCAGGCATCTATGCTAAGATTTTAATCCACTCCCCTGTCTGTATACATACGTGTTAACACCCAGTTTCATCTGACTATATACACTTTACAACTAAATTTATCCTTCCAACATCAACAGATAATTAATGTTTCAGCTAAACGTTCCACGGATTATACATATGTGTACGAGTATAATTTTTATACGCTTCGCTACTGCGATACACAATCCAATAAACAATCTCGAATTTCTACACATTTCACACTCGCTGGCATGTCTTGTAAAGTGTATTGACATCGAAAGTTTCTTTTCATCCGTTACCGGTTTGATAGTTGCCACTACAGTTTCAATATTGTTTGCGTTATTGCATCGCCTCGATGTATTATCTAAGCAAGGGATCTCGCAAAATTCTTATCGGAAGTGGATTTGAAGAATTCTTTAAATTTGCTTATATTAGATTTTTTGAAAATCTTAGGCACTCAAAAATATGCATTCCTAGTTTCACTATTAATTAGTCCCTTAAGTTTTAATTAAACACTAAAATGACCAGAAACATACAAAAACTAAGTTTATGGACATTCGTCTGGAACTTGGAACAAAACTTTTTTGTTCTTACTATAATAGCTTTGTGTCACAATACCACCAAGGTCCAATAAATACTTTCCCACTACTACTACTTTAACTATTTTTTAATTGAATCATTTTTACTGGGGAGGACGCCATTTTTTTCTGGTTCTAGATATATTCTATTACACACACACAACCAGAGAGAGAGAGAGAAAAGTTTTTGACCAATTTAATCAGAATAAATATGATGAACCATATACATTTGCAGTTAGAAGAAAGCAACTAGAATTATATAGGATGGTCCATTTTAAGAGAATGCAGCTTTATTCGATAGCACGATTCTGAAACAAAAAATATGTTGCTTGTAAAACATCTTATTAGACCATACAACTCTTGTATAAAATACTTTTATTTGTGAGCGATCATATATAAAAGTTAGAAGTGGGCAATTTATAGCAAAACACCCTGAGCAAGTGCACGTGTCATATAACGTCCGAAAAACTTAATATCACAAAATCGACAGTTTTGCTACTACTTCACTCCCTTCACTCCTTTCACAACGTATCCGACAAATTTTAACCACATATGCACTGTTACGAAAGAAGGTGATTTCTCAAAAAAAATGTAATCAAAATCTTACAGAAATCGAGATAATAAAATAATACAGTTTAACAGTTCACTTATACATAAAATATGTTCAAAATTGTTTCCATTAGCTGCATTGCAATCTCGGGCGCGTCTTATGAAATTCCGGCGCACTAATTCAAATACATCTCCTTTCTGCTGTGCCTGAGGGCTCAAATTATCGGCAGCCACTGTGATTCGGTCACGCAATTCTGCAATATTCAGAACTGGAGTACGGTATACCTCGTTTTTCAAATATCCCCATAAAAAGAAGTCAAGCGGATTCAGATCAGGAGACCGTGGAGGCCATGCAATTGGTCCACCTCTTCCGATCCATCGTATCTGGTATACCTGATTCAAAAAATCACGAACTTCTAAACAAAAATGCGGAGGTGCCCCATCGTGCAGAAACCACAATCGTGCTCGGATCGCCAATGGCACATCTTCAAGAAGGATCGGCAAATCATTCCGAAGAAATTCCAAATACTGACCATCTATCCGATTTGGTAATATGAACGGTCCAATTAGACGTTCATCGACAATACCTGCTCACACGTTTAAAGAAAAACGATGTTGGAAGAGTGTCTGGGGATTCATATCACAAAATCCTTATAACCAAGGTTATTTCACTTACGTTTTGCCTGGTTTATTATATTATGCAATATTTCTGCTTGCAGCTCGTCTGAATTCTCAAAATTGGAGTTTTTCACGTTCACGGTGTCAGCAATAGAGATTTGGATATAAGAGAGGTGCCACACATGCAGAACCTGAAATTGATTTCCAGCACAGTGTACATAACAGAGAGAGACTATGTGTAGAATCCCACACCCTATGAGCTTAACCTCCTATTCCTAGTCCTAGTGCATCCGACCCTAATATTTGCACAGGTGCAAACAATTCGTATCTTAAAGTAGTATAATTCACAATCTTATTCAAAGATTATCTAATTGCCTTAAAATGAATGAGTCAAGTCCTTACCTGGTCAATATGGTTAGTCTTTTCTATCATAGCTCTTACGCAATGCTCATCTATAAAAATGTCACAATTAATCAAAAATTGCAAAGAAAAATATCTGAAAGTCAGCAGACCTAGGCTGGCGTCAGGAATAGGAAGGATAGTCAAGCAGTTCCTAATTCTCGTTTATAGTGAAGAAAGTGGTGCTGTAACACATTCCATATAATACAGGATCCTTCACCTCGAACTGAGTCGATATGCATATGAGAAACGACTGTAATAGACTTTTACGGCTTGCGAAAACTGGTTCTCTGTTGTCCTCCTTTCGGGTGAAGTATTTTAATTTTATGAAACTTCCGGTTATATCGAACTGCGCCTCCAAGCCTAAAGTTCCAAATCACCAAAACGTGTGGGATAACTCCACCAACAGCTATGTGTCGCCAATACGTTGGATCTCTCAAATCATGGAGCAGTAATTTTGAAAACATAGATTGGCGGCACCAATAAACAGCAGAATAATTTTTGTTGAATATTGAAGATGTGTGCTCTGGAATTCGCTTCAGTTTTTGCTTCCCCCCTAACAACGTTAGTTCCGGAGAACTGGATAGTTGCCTATATTTACCACATTGCAAAACATACTAAAAGGCCAACCCGAGCAACTATAGGTCTGGTGTCAGTAATCAATGCTAACGAAGATAAGCAACATGGTGTTTCTGAAATATTTGTGGCAGCAGCGGTGGCGTAGTGGTAGATGCTACGTCCCAAAAGAGTTTTTCTCTTGGTTATGGATGTTGTGATTATCCGTAGGTGGTAGACGGTCTCTCACTGTCGAACGCGGAGGTACCACCCGGCGGATCTCGCAGGCGGAGCCAGAATGTATGCATGCTGCATGCACATGTGTTTCCTCGCTAGAGTCCGTGTGGCGTCCCCCGTAAAGAGAACTTACTTCTGACATTAATATGGTTTGGGGTTATTTAGTTGTATGAAAAAGCCCACGTTCTTGCTCCTCATAATACTTTGGTGTTTAATCAACTGTGATATATGTCGCTCTCTTAAGCGTGATCAGTATAATTCTCAAAGATTTTGTATTGTAATACTGACAGACTTTGATACCAACTTGAGGACTGTACCAGATATGTAGTTATCATTCATTTGAATTTTTGAATCGCCGATATGTGGCGCCACTTGCGCTTTTGACTGCTGGATTGCACGACCAATTCAACTTTCGAAATTTACCAACCCGTGCATATCCGCGTAGCGCCACCTTGTTTCCAATAACCCGTTTCGGACCTACATAAATAGAAAGATGGCGTCAAGTAGGTTGACTGCACTTCCTCTGAGGGAAAACCTAGCTACCTGAGAAAATGATCCAAAAAAATATATGATTCCAATGTATAGGTACAGAGTGACTCATCCATGTGGGAACGGAATACTACACATAAATAAATATATTTTGAAAAACCTTTATATGGGATTTTGTGCATGATAGTTTGGGGTGCATTTCTAAGACAGTCACAATTACTTAGGGTATCCCAACTAACCCACATATCAAAGTTGTAATTTTCTGAATGAGATACCTCAGATTTTATTGCATATTCGTTTAAATCAATTAAACAGAAGAAGATCAATATATGATATTAGCTACATACGTAGTCGTGCCATAAGTTCTGTCCCATGATAATCTCATGATAAAAATGAAACAAGATAAGATATATTTATATGAAAGATATTATTTATTCGACAACATTTTTAGAATTCATAATCAAACAGTTTTATTCAAAATGTCCCCCCTTGGCCTTCACACACTGCTTCAATCTCGCGGGCCACTCATCTATCACTGCACGCACAGCTTCCAAAGGAATAGCTGCCGCTGATCGGATCAAATCCGCTTTCAGGGACTCGATATTACGGTGGGCTTTGGAGCAGGCCAACTGCTCTAGCAGGTCCCACAACTTGTAGTCTAAAGGATTGAGGTCCGGACTCCCTGAGGGCCAATCTTCCGCAGCAATGAACTCTGGCACATTGCTTTCCAGCCAGCGCTGCGTACTCTTAGCCTTGTGAGCGGGGGCGGAATCCTGCTGGTAGACCCAGTGTTGGTTGGCAAACAATGTACCACTTAAAGGCTTGACGATAGGATCCAGTATGTCGCTCTGATAGTTTGCCGCTTTTGTTTTCACGCCCTGTTTACAGAAATGGAGCTGAGTGACCCCTTCGTAGGACACCCCCCACCAAACCATGACTGACGCAGGGTGGTGGCCTCTCTCAACTCTCGGAATGATCTCTGAAGCTTCCTGTGAACTCCTTGCATACACTTTGTCATTTTGTCGGTTGAATTTTTCTTCTATGGTGAAGATTTTCTCATCCGTGAACAAAATCTTTCGGAATCCCCCAGCTGCGTACCTCTCCAAGAGCTTCTTGGATCTTGTCGCCCTGATGTGTCGCAAGGTGGCCGTAAGTCGCTGGCCCGTACGTCTCCGGTAAGCCCCTAGCCCTAGGTCTTGTTTAATGATGCGCGACATCGTCCGGACAGGAATCTTCATTTCCCTGGATAGGATCTTCTGCTTCCGGAGTGGATTCCTTTGAATCCTGGCTTTTACGGCTTTGATGGCTGCTGGAGTCCTTACTTGACGAGGTCTTCCGCTTCTTGGCCTGTCATCAACAGAGCACGTCTCATTGTACCGCTGAATGGTCCTAGACACAAATTTACGCGATATTTGAAGGCCGCGTAAGAGTTCAAAAATCTGACTAGCACTGTGATTACACTTATGTAAAGCTATCACTGCAATACGGTTCTCTGCCTTGCCCCACTCCATCGTTATGCTTCGAGAGATCAATACAAACTGAGGTATATGTAATTACCCGAAAAGCGCTTAATCAACTGACACCACAATGTAAACAATCGGACAAGTATTAACAGGTCTACACTTGTTTGAAAACGAGGGACAGAACTTATGGCATGACTATGTATATTTAAATTTTCTTGATTATGTAAGGTTCACACCCAATATTCTGAATAGTGAATAAATATCCGCCGATCATAATGAATGAGAATTGCAATTACTCCTATAAATATCTTATTTTTAGCGAAATGCTGGTATCAGCGACACGGTAATCAACGTTTATTGCCGCTTTTAAGTACTATTACGTCAGAAATTTTACATAAAAACAGTGTTTCCTGGTATCCGGGGGAAATTAAGTATCAAATTGAAGTCGAACAACTTGTGATTATGCCTCTTAAACTAGACACCCGACCCATTTGTCATTTGTGATTATTGTAAAGCTCTTAAGTGTTTGATTCATTATACAACATGAAATGGTGAGGCATCTATAAAATATACAAAAAACATTTGTGTTAGGTATTATCAATTCTCAGCGATTATTGATTTTCAAACAATACCTTTCAAATTGAATAACAATGTACAATTTGCAGTATCACTTTAGTGTAACTAGAAATAGCTTCAAAAAAAAGTTGCTAGTTCGGTACTCCGAAGTGCCGTATACCACGAAATGTCCATCATATGTTAACGAATCAAAATTATAGATTATATAGTCTTATGTATAGTTGTTCGTGCTATATATTTTACTTCCTACACCCACTGGCGAGGAAGTAAGGGAACTCTTAGTTTTTATCCCCTGCAAATGATGAGGATCCTCTGAAAAGTCAAAAAAATAGTTTTGAGCATTTTTTTTTTCGTTTTTAGCCTTTTTCTCCGCCACCACTGGATCGATTTTTAGTAACCTCGTGTGAAGATTTCAGCAAAATCCGACCGGTACTTTCCAAGTTATAGACGGGCCAACTATTAGCGGACCAAAATACAGGCAAACAGACTGACATACAAACAAACCAGCAAACTGACTGAAATGTGTGACATGGATTTTCGTAATGTACATCACATCCAAAAAAACATAATATCTCATTTTAGAAATGTTTGGTGATTTTCCTCTCCAGTAGGCGTAGGAAGTAAAATTAAATTTTAGAGGGTGGAGGAGGTGTATCTCAATGTCAAATTTTTCGCTTCCAACCCCGGCAATTCTACACTCCTATTAGACATATTAAAGATATAGATTTGCCGGTACATTTTCCCTCATTGTTATTCTTGTTCATACCTTAACTTTTTCTCAGATGGGCAAACTTAATCACGTAATCATCTATGATCTGATGACAGCGTTGCGTTAGAATTGCAAAGTCAACCTACTTCACTCCAATTTCTTGCATCTCTCAGAAAAGTTATATTTTTTAAATGGAACATCCTGTATATTTTATTAAGTTTTTTTCCGATTCTAAATATATTAAGTATATGGTTAGTGGTTACCTTGTACACAATTCAACAATCGTATACCGACTACAGCTGCCGCTGTTTATTTCAAGATAAATTTGTGGGTTAGACTACGCTTCGTACTTAGTTTGAATTCATTTTGCGGATATTGTTTAAACGGTTGTTTTGCTTAATGCTAAATATAGTATAACTCATGTCAAATGGCTTCCATGTATCAAGATTACAAATAATAGGTGGGTATCATTATTTACAAATGGATGAGGGGTTTGTCATCAATATCGTGGTATTTTGCAGGCATATTAATAAAAGGTTAAAAACGTACTATATATATATATATATATATATTTTAACAATGGTGTGTTCTTAAAATAGCATATCGCGAGGCCACATCTAGTAATCGCACGAATACACATACTCCATAAACAAAGTTCACTGATTTTACTAAAACATTTTTCTATAATTACCGAGCGACATCGTATGTCTCTGAAATTGTAGAGATGCTGAATAGTCCTGAACTCTTAGAAGAAACGCTTAGGGTACCTTTGAACAAAGCGTCACATTCGCTACTCGAAATATAATTCTTCTCGGGGATTTTTTTTCTAACGGTATTCCTGACTTCAGTGGTCTAGTATGACAGCACACTATACAGGATGTTAGTTAATGATAGGCCGTAATTACAAGCACGCATTTCTCAACTAAATTAAAGTAGAAAGGTTCATATAAATGTATCCCAAACTGTCTGGTTTCCAAAATAAATTGTGTCAAAGCATAAAAAAAACTTCTGACAGGTGAAAATAAAAGCATTCTGTCACAGAAAGTTAAAAGTGTAATCACAACAACATGACAACGTTCCCTAGCAACAATCAAAGTTGATTTGATATTATTTTACCAATTTTTAGACCTATAATCAAGTTTTCTAAAGGCGAAGTAAGATAATAAATGGATACCAAGGGCAACAAAAAGTTGTGTTATTAGTTGAATCCGAAAAAAGGATATTTTTAAAAAATCAGTGAAGTAAATTATTTATCAATATTATTTGTGAAACTGTCCCTCGAGCCGCAACATATAACTATGAATCTTCTAGTTGATGCTAACTTAGCCTCTAATTGCAATGTCACTGCCAAAATTCACCAAATCGAAGCATATGAGTCTTTAAGATGTTAATAAAAAATATATTTTTTTTAAATTTCACACCCAGGCCTTTTAGGATACATGTTTATATCAACTTTCCTACTTTAATTTGAGTTTGTTATTATGGCCTACCATTAAGAAACACTCTGTATAAAAAGAAATAGTGTTATGACATGTATGGTCTGCAATAAGACAGAATTCTTCTATTTATAAATCGGCGCTAAATTCTCAAGGTATTTGCAGACACACTCCGCTCTCCCTTATCTAATCTTCATCTTATTTACAGATCCGTCGTAGAAAATGCTACTACAACTGACGCGGTAACAAACCGTACAGTGACAAGTATGGCACAAGACACCACAGACTCGGCACCGAGGGTGCCCTCAACCACTTCTGGTCTCAAAAGGGTCTCATCTCCTTCAATTGAGACATTGAACAGCGAGATGCGCAGCAGAGAGATCACAAGGGAAAAAGGAAAAAGAGCGATCAAGAGACTGATGAATATAATAAGGTTGAAGAAATATGCGTGTGCTACGATCTCCAGGCCGGATCCCACTTACAAGGTGGCTTATTTGGGCAATGTCATCACTGGATGGGCTAAAGGTAAGTAGGATAGTATGCGGGTCATCAACAGGCTCAATTTTTTCGGAAATGGAAATTCTATTATTTGAATTCCAAAGTAGCAAAATATTGGAGGTACCAGGTCTCCTGAAGAGTTTCACCAGTCGAGATGGATACGCTTTAGTTTTCATAGTTACCGAGAAAATACCTGAGTGACTGTCACGTCGGTGACCGCTATAGAAAGTTGACCTCTAAGACTGCAGAAACCAGGACAGTTAGACGTTCCCAAAGAATAGCATTCCACCGCTTACGTGCCTATATCTAACCATTGTCACCGACACAAAGGATAAGGCGGAAGTGCTTGCCAAGATCTTTGCTGCAAACTTCACCGTGGCTGTGCCTCCCAACGCCCGATTGACGTCGATTCCAAAGGTTCCATACCATATAGTATGCGGGAGGTAATCTTGAGGCATAAGTCTGTAAGACAGGTGCCTTTGTCGTTCGACATCAAGAATACTGTTCTGGTCCTGACCTAATTCCTGCTATCGTACTGAAGAAATGTGCAGCGGGGCTTGCTCCGATTCTTTCGTGTATTTTTCGGTTATCTTAGGAAATCGGTACTTGTTCAGTCACGTACTTTTCTACACATAACATCCTCAACTTCACCCTGTAAATGCCTCAGATAGAACTTATCCTCGAGTGCTGCTCACATCTTTGGTGTTGAGTCGCCCGTAGTAAAGGGCGATGATACTTATCAAGCAGACGGCCTCGAGACCCTTTCGCAAAGATGAGCCGTCGGCGATATGGCTCTCGTTTACCACTATGTCGACAAGCTATGATCCTCAAAGTTCTCCTCCATGATATGGCCTACCAGGCAGACTCGCCAGACTTTGGCCCCCCATCTTAACCGTGTCGAACTACGTACATCCAGAACTGACTGGTACGACCGCCCCTTTGTTCCTAGGGTTTCGAGATTGTGGAACATTCTGCCCCGGTATTCATTCTTCTGCCTACGCGGCTGCTTCGCTATAAAAAACAAGGTCCCGGGCGCGTTTATAGGCAAAAGTGTCAAACGAGCGCTAGAAAACCGAACTGTAGAGGTGAGTAAATTTTGTATTGGTGTCATTTCGATGGAGTGCATGAAATCCACGGAGGAAATATTTTGAAAACAAATTTAGTTTCCTAAAAACTCGGACTATCTAGGTATATCCTGAGAATATGGGCAAAATAATAATGTCTTCTGAAATCATTTGACAGAACTTAATTAATTGCATAACCTTATTTTGTTGCTCCGGCATTACCTTTTGACCTTGTACTTGTCAAGAATGGCTGATCAGAATTTACATAAGCTGTTTTTATAAAAATAGAGCAGCACGCCCAATTCTCATCTGCGGAGGTGACTGTTTCATCGTGCACACACCTAAAAAATCGCGTCGAGTCGAGGTTGGCCCTGCACTTTCCAGGCAACGCTGTCATAAGTTTAGTAATGATTATGTTCGGCACAAGTTGATCCCTCTGAAGAAAAAATTACCTACAAACATGTATAACTTGCATAACAAAAAAAATTAAATTGATCAAACCAACCAAACATTCTAATACATTTGGTTCATAGTCTCCACTCATTTCATAAAGCTAGAAGTTACTTTCCTGCCCCACACCAGTCAACCATGCCATTAGAGCCGGCCTTGATATTATCACTCGAGGTCGAGAGCGCCAGCGATGTAGTCAGGCCCAGACGGGGCTTGGAGCATGAAGGTCGCCGTCGATCGCGACCTGCACTGGAAACGTCAGTGAATGTTTCTCTAAGTTTTAAAAGCAAATGTAGGGGGGTAACAATTATATGTAAAATATGTACTACTAGTTGCGCAGAATTACCTGGGCTGGTTGCGTTCTCCTAGGCATTGTGTCAAAATTTCACGATCTGAGTAGTACTTTCCAAGTTATAGACGGGTCAAGGATTAGCGGACTGGTATAAAATGAACCACATGGCTTTAACTGCCGGTGCACACAGGCGTTAAAGTACTTGCTGGTCTCTTTCCAAGTATACATTGTTGGTTGCAGAAAGCCACTTTGTTTGTAGACTGCAAATTGTAATGTTTAAAATGTGAAAGAACGACAGTTTGGTTGGGTAGCAAGACTGCACCTGGACGGTTGTAGTGGTCTGCAAGTGTATAAAATATGTGATATTTGCAATGTGAGAAAATTATTACTGACTATGCTGCCAATGAAGTATATCTATTAGCTGTACCAGACGGGTTACTTGTGTTGTTCTTTCTGAAGAGATGTTATGTTCAAAGTTATACATTACTATTTTTCCCGTTTTTTTTCTTTTTTGTTTTCAAAAACATTGAGAAGAATTACAAAAAATCACCACCGCACCCGTGTTGTGCGTATTACTGTTAGCATGTATATTCGACAGTGTACAGTGAATACAATTATTTCTTATCTCTCTCATTTTTTAAATTCAGCAAATTTGCATATTTAATTTCCAGAATGGATAAGAAAAAGTGGATGCGCTACTGATTTCTAGCCTTGAATCTCAAGTAAGTCTATTTGAGATAAGAATCCAATGGACTTAAAATCAACAGACATTATTAGCATACACTATGCCTGAGCTTAGACCTAGTAATGCCATCTCTGAAGCAGATTTTGCATAACATCAGAGCCAAACATTGATAACTGAAGCCGCATGACGTTTAGGCAACACTTACAACTACAAAACGAGTTCTCAACTAGTGCTAAGTTAACATCTTGTAGAAAAACCTACATAATGTCACAAAAAAATCGGCATTATGTCACTTTTCAAGATACGTAATACCCGTGCTGTTTTGTATGACACGATCGTCGCCGAAGTTGTCACACTGCAAAATGCATAAATATTTTTTTACACGAGGTCCTAGCATAAAATTTAGTTAAGAGAATGAGAGTCACCCGTACATAGTGATGGGCGTTTACGCGTGTACATTATATGTCTATGTCTCGATGTATGCAATGCGTATACAATGAATACAATGTATACATTGAGTATAGGTGTACAATGAATAGAATGTATAGAATGATGAAGGCAATGTATAGAATAGCATAAGTGAGGTTAGGCTTATTCGCACATGTCAGAAAGTTGGTAAACAGTGGACCGACAACATATGGTTGGACGCTCCAAGAACAAAGAATTCGATGAACTAGGGTTCAGATGTTGTTCTTAATTTATTTAAAACTGTATCTTTGTATGCGTGTATAAATAAATATTATATATTTTTTCATTATTTATAAACTGCTGCCACAGTCAAACCAATAATGCAATGTTGCAGAATTTATATCTATCCTCAACTTTCAGTTCCACATAAAATCTGAGAATCATTAGGATCGAACTGAAATTGATCCCAAACAGATTCGACAGAAATGTGTATTTGAGCGTAGAAAACAAGGCGTTGGAGCAAGTTACGTGGAGTGTGGCGCACTCTTTCTACACAAGTGGTGCCCGCTTGTCCCCCTCTCCCTCTCTCTCTCTTCCTCGTACACATGGAAATCTAAAAGGGAAAGGGACTTTCGCCAGCACTATATGCAAGTAGTTGAACTATGATTTGCTATTGTATACATTATATACATTGTATACGTGAATATTGAGACGTATATGTTCACCATTCTAACCGCGTATACAATGGTGTATTTATTATACATGGTGTATACAATGCGCCCATCACTGCCCGTACAGTACGTCTTAGATAAGGATGTGATGCAATGTTGATGAAGTCAGATTTAGTTTTACCATTTCTTTCACATAGAATTTACAGAATTGGGATTTTAATTATTTCGAACGTTATTTCAAGCATCAAGAAATAAACCATACTTTTTCATTGTGATGTTTCCATTGCCACTGCTATATCTGATAGGCTGGTGTTAACACAGTTTCAGCTTGACGGTTGTTTAGTTTTCTAACAACCATCAACTTATTTTTTTGATACAACTCTGTTATTATACGACAAAGTTTGAAGGCATTTTAAATTTTGATTTATGAGTTACAATACTATTGTGAATGAGAGAATACATCTCGACTTCGGATCTCAGTGTTACAAATACCACTATTGGTCAAAGTCATAACAGCACGTAAATGGTGACCACTTCCCACGCACTGATATCAATCTGATATTTAATATATATACTATCTAAAACCTTATATACCCGTAGGTGTAAGGTGCAATTACATTATTTCGTTCCCTAAACTAATTTGTTATTATATACAAATTTAGCCCAGTCTTTCTTATTTCTCGTCCTTCGTCCGGCGCACTGCTTCGTTCGAACTTACAGTATTCCTCTGTTCTTGAGTATTTTCGCCAATCCATCATTCCACGTCTTTTTCGGTCGCCCTCTTGCCCTTTTCTTTTGAACCCTATGAGCTTTACTGGCCTTGTATTCTTCATCCTTACTAAATGCCCAAACCATTTTACTTGGTTTTCTTCAATCCTTTGTAGTACAGATTCCACTCCCAGCTCTTCTCTAATAACTTCGTTTCTAATTTTGTCTTTCCTAGTGACTCCTTTGACTGCCCTGAGGTATTTTATATCAATAGCCTGTAACTTGTTTTTTGCCTGTTCGTTTATACCCAGCTCCCGCTTTCAAATACCAATATAGGTCTGAATACTGTTCTGTACACGGTCATCTTTGTTTTCCTGCTTATCATTTTCTACCTTGAGAAAGATATTTTCAATGTGTGATAGAGCCTAGATGCGTTCATTAATCTTTCGTCGATTTCCTCTTCCATTGTTCCATCGCCTTGTACCACCACTCCTAGATATTTAAAGCGCCGCCTTTTTCTATACGTGCGCCCTTAGTAACTATATTCATTCCATTCCCCTCTGCTGTCGTCATCACGGTTGTTTTAGATACGTTAATATTCAAACCTCTGTTCGATAATTCCTGGATCCAGATTTTAAGGTTAGCTTGTAAGTCTTTTGGGGTATTAGCGCACAATAACACGTCGTCCGCGAATGCGCACTCTGAAATATTTATTGGCCTCATTTTGTATAAACCGACATATTCTTTTT